TCACCTAATTTCTCTTCTCTGGTAATTTTGAAGATTTTTGGAGTACACTTTTATCCAGCGATTCAAATTTAAAAAAGTGTAGCTTTGGGGGCCAAATATTAGAATTCTTGGGGGGCCAAATATAGAATTCTACCGAGGACAAACCGACAATTGGAAGTATTTTATTTAGCTGAGAAGATAAAAAACTCAGTGTTTATAGCCTGCCATGTGACTGCTATCCTGTGCTATCAAAGTGAGGACGCGGCTTGCAGCCAAAGATTTAAATAATTATACAAACTGAAAAGATGTCAACAAAGAATAATAATAAAAATTAATTCAATAAATTATACAAAAGAGAAAACTCCACAAGTAAATTAAGGGTGATATTTATTGGTACTATGCAATGCCTGCTATGCAAAGTAGTGTTTTTGTTCTCTTAGCCGTATTTGATGCATTGCAACATTCGCAAGTGTAAACGAGAATGACCAAAGAAATTACGAAAGTATACAAACTTTATTGATATAACAATTTACGCTGAATATTAATCTTTCGGATTCACTACAGTACTAGATTTTTATCAACAACAACCCCGAGTTCACGCAGCTATGCGTCTAGTTGGTGCAAAGCTTCAATTGGAATATGAAAATTAGAACCTTTGCCTCAAGACGGTATCAAAAATTGTGTTTTGGCAGCACAGAAACATCACAAGTCATATTAACTAAAGCGGATTCCCCCCTGCAGAGTCTTTCTGGTATCAGCATACTCCTGACATTCTGCGGGTAAAATCTTGTCTCAAGATTGGGGACCCTTGTTCAGGTCATTGAAGCCATTACAAAGGAAGCCCAAGGARAAATAATTAGGAAATGTCTGCATAGGAGGCTAGTTTCAACATTTTAAAATCATCAAATTTTAAAATCATTATTCCCAACTTAACTGCAAACATGATACTGTGACACAATAAATACAWTAAATATTTTTATAAAAAGTTTACATTTCATACACATAGGTGCAAGAACAGATGTAAAAAATAATGAACGCAAGACAGCATATGATCTGGCCAGAGATCCAGAGGTTGGCAGGCTTTTGCGAGGTGGAGAAGGTATAACTTCAACTGATCAAGTGATGGATATAGTGTGCATTTTTTACTTTTTTGTACATTAAGAAAGCTGTGGAAGACAAAAGTATCCCATGCATAAATGAATTCTTGGATTTATGTTTTATTATTTGAATCATTAGCTGTCATTAAAGAGAGAATCTAAGTACTATATATTAAACTGCAAATCATCAATATTGAAATTTAAATGAAATTATAGAAGTTTTGATTTTCTATTTACTTGTGACTCTGATCTATAATAATGTACTATTTCTTTTTTCAGAGGGTTCAACTAATGACTATGGTGTTGATGATGAAGATTCAGATTAGATAACATAATTATGGTAATACATGCAGTTAATGTCCAGTTCATATGTGTTGCCAGTCAGGCTGAACCAAATGTTTATCTCTATTTGGCATAATGATTGACATCACACATGATTTGGCATGCAAATAATCTCTAGGTTAAGCATGCTCAGTCATAGGCATTTCCATAATTTGTAGTTTTTGCTTGGCTAGCACATTTTTTAACAGTGAACAAAGATGTACCATGGRAAAATCCAACCAAGAGTGAACTAGGAATGATTTATGGAATTAGTTAACCAGTCCTGTTGTTTAAACTCATGCATTTGCTGCCAGTAGAAAAGGCAGAAAAAAACACAAGTTTCAAATATTGGAACTATGACTATATCGTATGGTATTTAGGTTCATTATTATTATGTTTTATTTAGATAAGGACCTAAATTTATTACTTCCAATAATAATAAAACATTGAGCTTCTGGTTTTTGATGATCAATAGACTGTACATAATCATGGTAATCAAAGGTCAGCTCTATTTTTATATGTGKAAGTCTGACTTAAGCATGATGGAGGTTTAAGACTATTTATCAGCAAATTTTTGTAAAATTCTTGATTGAAAGTATCCATGTTACTTTMCAACCCATATTCCATCAAAATACTACAAAAATTGAAAATAATGTAATCGTTAATTATAGCATATTAGCTGGACAGGGCCGTTGTGCAAGTTGCTAAATTTATTCATCCATGCATTTCCTTTATATTTTACAGCAGAAACYGTTGCTTCGCRACTTCGATGTTCARAGAAAATACTTGGGATTTAGGTTTTTCTRCGACTTGGGGGCGGAGCTTGATACTAATCAGMCAATGATTGAACGAGTTTTCGAAAAGCTCCGCCCCTCAGATTGAAAGARAGAACAAAATCCAGACAAACTTCAARACAAAGAGGTCGCGATGCAACGATTTCTGCTGTAACCACTGGATCATTATCTAGTRGATCKATAGAGGCCAGTATTCATATTTGGAACAACTGGCCCCACACTATTGRGCAAAAGGATTTTTTAACAATGAAATTAATAAAAAATTATGTTGTCAATAATTTTCTAATAATAGATGTAGTGTAATAAACAAATCTTTTAGAATTTTGTTGTTTTTGTCATACTATTATTATAGTTTCTCATTCATGAAACATTCATCCATTAGTATATGGTCCTTTTTAAGTTATTCCCTTTTAGGACCTTGTTAAGTGAAAGTGAGTTTCCAGATGAACTTTGGATTTCAACTCATTGTAGAAGGCAAAACTAAAACCCATGATCATGTTCCTACTAACAGGGCGGGGGTTACTCTCCTATATTTGTTGTCTTGAATTGGACGGGGATCGTGTTCTGATCTGATGTTGGTTATTGAGAAAATCTCACAATTGACATGTATTAGTTCTAGAGTTGCATTACAGTAAATACAGTAAACACCTGAAAATAAGAACCTTATTTTTTGAAAGTCTGGCAAAAAAGGTTCTTGTTTTAAGGGGTAGTTGTTGGTAATTTTGGCAAAACAGGTTCTTAATTGCTAATAGGGGTATATAGTTCTTATTGTTTTGCATATATAGAGTGCTCACACTAAATGCATGAAAATATATAAATACTACAAAATAGGTGATAAATTATACAAATTCCTTTGTTTCCTATTGCATAATCAACGCTATTTAGTAGTAATTAGTACTATTTGTTTCACGCTTTAAGTGCGAGCACTCTATCATAAGAATAATAAATAATCTTGATATGGGCTAAAATTATTAATAAAATTTTTGATATATAAAGCGCGCTCTGATTGGCTGACGACCGTGTTTATATCAGAGGACAGAGACACGGCTTACCGGCAAAATTTGCTTTTCACTCGAAAAAATTTTATAAAAGAAATATAAAACGGCCGCTTGTGTCTCTGTCCTCTGATATAAACACGGTGGGGGTTGAAAAACACTTGAGAAGCAAGAGAAACACTCGCTACGCTTGTGTTCCTAAGCTTGCTTCTGTCGTGTTTTTTTAACTCCCACCATGTTTATATCAGAGGACAGAGACACGCGCGTCGTTTTATATTTCTTAAATAATACTATGATATTATAGAATAACTGTAACTTTTATAACTTCTGTTACAAGTAAATGATCAACTCTACAACTGTCAGTAAAAGTATTTGTGYGCAATCTTGAAATTGAGTAACTTGTGGTTTGTTTATCTTGTAATCTAGTTCTAACCAATATTATAAGAACCTGCTTGATAATGTTTGGCTAAAGAGGTTCTTTTTTAAGGGGCAATTAAAATGGCAAATTTCTGCCAAGAGGTAATTGTTAATTCATTATTTTCGAGTGTTTACTGTACAGTATCTAGCCTACATTGCATCCTGGAAATTTTCAAAATACAGAGTAACCAGATGTAACCCAGGCAGGCTACCATTGCCAACCCAGGCAGGCTACCATTGCCAAGTCTTTAGCCATACGTCACTAGAAAGAAATGAAAGTTTTTTTATACAAATAAGATTAATATTTTAAGTTCTACAGATATAAGATTCTGCCATACCAATGGAGCTTAAAATATATTAATAGTAAAAAAATTCCATATAAAATTCTATATAAAATTACTCCAACACTGCTAAAATTGTATTCTTCTCTCTTTCTCTTTCCTTTTTACTAGACCTATATCTAGGTAAAATATATTTATTTTTTGGCACATAAAGCGTCATGTTCTTTGCATGAGACAATGATTTCGCAGCACTATCTCCAGGTCAAATGTTTACGAAGCAAAGTTTCGTCATCGTGGATAAGACGATTTCACAAGCATTTGTTGTTGAGAATGGTCATGAGATATTCCTGAAAGAACGTCTTTACCAACCAATGAATTGCCTGTGCTTGTTATAGGGGGAAGAAATGGATTCAAATTTCTGCTCGGGGCGTCTTTTTTATCTTTAATCTTTTGTTTACTATTTCTTTYTTCTGACGATAATTGTCCTTTCAGTCTTTTGTTAATATCTTTTGCCTTCTGTAGTAGTTCTTCGACTTGTTCTTCGCTTAAAAAGTCCATATTTTCTGCCACAGAATTTGGGTCCGTTAAATCAATTACWAGATCATCTTCTTCGCTTGAGGATTCAAAATTAGCTTTTCCAAACGATGCCATTCTTTGATCAAATACCTGATCGATAAAGTTGTCTTGAAAGATGTTATAACAGTAGTCTCGAGTCAATAAAACAGGCAATAACAACACAGCAGSATAAATCAATGTTTGCACATGGCTTTTGTCRTGTTTACCAAAGTCTTTTGGTACTTGGATACATTTCAAATTCCTAGCATGCTCAATCAACCAATCACATAGCGTTTTATTTGAGCCAATTGGAAAAGGTCTTTTTAAAAAATTAAAAAATAACACCCATAAACACTTGAAAGCGATTGTCAAGTTACATTGTTTATACAAAAAAAATGACAGAAGGCATTGAAATACCGTCTGTTTTATGCATTTCAATCGCAAATTTACCTTGTGAACTACTTTTGGGTTACCTGTGTAGTGATATCATCCAATCATTTCTGTTTTTAGAATAAACCAATCATCAAGCTTCATGTAAAAAAATTTCAGCTTCATCGGAGAATCCATGGATGTTTACATGTAGACCAAGCTCTGGCTTTAAAATAATTTTTCCGGTCGAATTASTTCGCCTTAGGGCTTTGTCTCTAGTTTTGGTTTCTTGTATTCTAAAGAATCTCTACAGTATAACGTTTGGACATTATTCCAAGGCTTGCAGGTAGTATCTTAGATGAAAGACTTCTCAAATTTCAATTTTCCCGCCATTTTTCATCAAACCTTCCTGCTCTATTTCTCGCTTCTAATATCTTCAGATGACTATTCCTTGATTGATATAAGTGCAAGGTTTAAAAATGGCTTGGCAGAATAATTCTGATGAGCAGAATAGAATAGAAAACATGAAAACCGTTGCTTGTGATGAAGCTACAGTTCATCAAGCAAACTTGGCACCTTCTGGTCTCACAACAGACTCACCTCAAGCATACGTCTCTGGACAGAAATGTAATAACTCCATCATAATTTCTACAAATAACACAACAGGCTCTTTAAATGACAGTARTCTTTGTGCTGGTAATGATTTACCATTGAAAGCGATTACAAATGTTTTGAAAGTCGACAACGTTAAACCTAAGCCAAGTGTGGTTAAAGACATAGATAAACAATCCAATGAATCTGAAGAATCTGTAATTCCAAGTCTAACTAACGCAATAGTCAAACAGGAACAAGCTAATAATCATMCTAATCTAGCTTTGATCAAGAACACATCACATCTACTGACTAGCAATTCAAAGTCAACTGGAGGTGCTCAAAACAGTCACTCACCAGCACTGATTACTATCAAAGAAGAGCCTTCTGATATTAGTAAAGACACACCAACAGGATTACCCCCTGAAGGAGTTCAAGGTATTGCAGCATTGATGGGTATATCAGGCGACACATCTCTACCCCCTGTTAAAATTGGGACGTGCTTGCTCTGTGGAGATGCATTRTGTGGTACAAATGGAATCACATGTGCATCCGATGATGAGAGTGARGAGAAGGAAGAGTCAGAGTCTGAGAAAGATTTTCTCCCCCCTCCCCCAATGGTAAGTAATGCATATCAAGCTGACTACTTCTTGTCTAGAGAGCTTTCATCGTGTTCCTCTCTGCAGTAATGGTTTTGCTGCTGCTATTGGAAACTACAGTATACCAGAATGCTTCCTGTACTTTTATACTTTAAATGCATTAAACAATCCATGTTGTCTCACCATTGTTTCACATGAAATATAATCTAAAAACAAAGAAAGTGTYCAGAGCATTCTGGTAGTTGTAGTAAAATGAAGTTGAAAGTTAGCTATGGTCATCCAGTCCAAGACCATTTTTTCRCCTRCTCTGTTGAACATGTAATGCATCATTCAAACAACCAGAAATTACAGGCATTAGCAACCATATATATGGACAGACGGAACAGAAGGATCAAAGAAAACTTGACATACATATACTGTACCAGGCTAAAAAAGTGTATCTGGACAAAGAGCAGTTTTGTTATGGAATGATTTACCAGTAGAAATAACTTGCTGCAAAAATACATTAAGAAAGCACCACTTAAAAGATTACTTGATAATTAACATTCCTGCATCTCTAATAACTTTCTGCTGATCCATATCTGTTTGCACTTATATTAAACAAGCTTTCATTTTACAATGTGCACACAATTTTAAATATTTCATATTCATACATAGTTTATACATAACTTAATTTAAATAGAGATGRAAAGTTATAATCCAMCACATGTGCATGCAAGTTCTTCTGGACACTTTTCCTGTTACCAGCAGTCAACAGAGTGGGTTAAAATGGGTCTGGGACTTGACTATGAYCTATAGCAGCTAACTAGTGCATAATGTCTGCTAYAATTTGCCCTTTTTTGTCGGTTAAAGARCACCAAATCAAGAAAATGTTTCAATAGCAAAACAAGGTTTTGGTGGACTCAATTTGATGTGTATACATACAAATATTAATTATATTGATATTGTATAAGTTCAGTGTGTCAATTGAGAAAGTAGAGCCATATTTTTGCCTAGTTTGAGTCACCATGACAGATACAATAAACCATTTTTTTCTCTGACCTTAAAAAAGGTAAACTTGTATGTGATTGAACACAATTTTTATTATTGAAACACTAAGTGATKCCTGGCCAGCATAAACAGGAATAGAACTGTAATGCTATTAGCTGTTACTTCTGGCAGTAGCTAATAATTGATAGCTTATTATTCAATACCCATTGTTTAAGGGATGTCAACAGAATGCAGGTATTGAAAGACACCTTATAAGAAACTTTGGCTTTTGTTATATAATATATTAACTGGTTAAGAGATCTTTGATGGGTATTTCAATGCTCCTTTTAGTTGGTATTCATGATGATACAATTATCCTTTTCTAGTCCAGCGTAGAAGTAGACAAACTGTTTTCAAAGCTTGTTGAACAAGATAAGGAAACCTCAATGGAGCCAGCTGCTGTAAGTATAATTCCAAAAAAAACACTACTAATTATTATAACATGACTTAAAATGGCAGTTCGAGAAGAGAAACAGTATACACCTGCGTACGATAACACTTGAACAGGGCAATATTGTTGTTATTATACAGTTATTAAATAACATTCATGTACAGGAATATATTGAGATAAAGAGAATTATTAACTTTAGTGAATTTATTTTTGTCTTATAAATTATTAAATTAGAACATAATATGTTTTGTGTTGCATGTTACGTGAAGGTTATTACAACACAGATGTACTTGCATCAAAAGCAAGCTTTGCAATGGATGATTACCAGGGAAAACAGCCAGGAATTGGGACCATTCTGGAAGGAAACTAAGTTCAGASAGGAGTGGTACAACGAAGGTACAAGAGCTTACACTTCAGAGAGACCCAACTGTATAAAAGGTGGAATACTAGCAGACGACATGGGTCTTGGTAAAACTTTGACTATTATTGCACTGATATTTACCAATCATATCAATGGAAAACCGATGTTCTTAAAGAAAGAAATCCCTTCAAAAAAGGTAYGCCACTTAGATTAACATTAACTGTTTTAATGCATCCAAGAACCTCTGCGTGATTTTGAAAATTTGCAATCTTAGATTTTGAACTACTCAGAATTAGTCTGAGTATCAGGCTCTCTCAAAGGGGATTGGGGCAGAGCGAAATGGGAGAGAGAGCCTGACACAATCTTCTATCAAAAGCCGTTCCGCCCCTTGCAATGAGTGACATGTGACAATAAATTTAAGCCGATTAAAAGCTGTTCCGGTTTGCTGGATTTCGAGATGTGGCAGTTATATGTCAAAATTTGGCTATTATGCCGATTTTTACCAGCTTCTCAACTTGTGGACGTCTAATAAGCTCTAGAGGATTGATCACTATAATCTTGAATTGCTTTACTTTGTTATGGGTCAGTGTAATGCTAGTTTTATACGAGACGTTTCCGTTAATCGGTTTGTTTTTGTACGCGTAAAAACAAACGATTCAAGAACGGCTTGATTTTTATAACATGTAAAAAAAGAATAAAAGACAAGCCTCTGGAACCAGGGTACTATTAAAGTTTTCCCAAACTTAATATATCGAGAGTCATAGCCTTGTTTGGTAACATAATAATTATATATATTATAATTCCTGTCACTTCCTTTGTCCTCTAGACCATTCAGCGTTTCAGCCATGAAACGGCCGCAGAACACGGCTCTTGATAGAAGATTGTGTGAGGCTCTCTCTCCTTTCTCGCTCCGCCCCAAACCCCTTGGAGAGAGCCTGATACTCAGGCTAACTCAGAATTAAGTACCTCTCATCAAGAGATCAAAGCCTTCTTTGCAGGCAAATCCACTCCGTGGGATTCTTGTTTTTTTAACACCAGTTCCTCTCTGTCAAGATTATCAATACTTGAGATTTTTTGAGGAAATTGAGTAAATTTACATTTTGAAATAAATGCAATCTGACCACAAATCAGTGATCAAAGCACAGTGGCTGGTTGGTTGCTTATTTCTTGTATTGTCAAGCCAAATGATTTAGCACAAAAATTACATAGCTCATGTGATTCACTTTCACTCAGTTACATGGCTTGTTGACATCACATACCATTTATGTTGATACAATTTGTATCACACATGAACGAGATGAATAATATGATTTTTCCCTGTGTGTTCCAATTTAACAATATATAGCTTGATTTNTAGTCTTTCCCGTGAAACATAGTAAGAATATTGTAGTAATTTAAAGGTCAAGTATACTACAGTATCAAAATCAGACAGCTCGGCACCGTGTGGCAAGCGATCTTCGCAAACAGGAAGGGCACGCTCTATAACCCTGTTTCTATTAAAAGTCTGAATAAGTTCAAATTCAAGACACTGATTAAGAGCATCTCTCTCGAGATTTTAGTAAAAGCAGACGATTTTTTAGATATCGATCAGATTATTAACGAGCTAAAGGCTTCATACTGAGGAACACCTTTGTCATCATTTTATATCTATATTTATCCTAATATTTATTGAATAATTTCCTAATAATTATACGTACTCAAACTGTGACTGATTTTTGACATTTTTATACTAGTTTTTCTCCTTCATTATCGCCCTCGCCTCGACTAGTCTTGGACTAACTGCGAGGGTAAACTTCACATGTAACTATAAGGATAATCCATAAATAAACTGTTGTTGTTGTTGTTGTAGATCACCTTGTTTCACAGGTTCGCATAAATCAGAAAACAAACTAGGAATATCATTAATAAAAATGTTAAACAGAGAAGGGCTAAGGTTACAACCCTGTTTAACTCCTGTGAATGATTGAAAAAAGGAGTAATGCCACAATCTAATTTAACTGCAGTTATAACCGAAGAGTACATATTAATCAAAATTGTAATGAATTCCCTACTACAACCACACTCAATAAGTTTGTAGAATAGACCTTCTCKCAAAACACTATCATATGCTTTTCTGAAATCAACAAAACACGCAAATATYAAATGGTTTCCGACAGGATCTGTAGTAATTGATTAAAGTTTTAAGGACAATTAGATGATYAGTAGTTCCTTTCGAAAACATGGTGAAAACATGGTTGCGAGAGAGGGGATTCCCCTCTGCCCGGCAATGTTGTTTAATAGGCGGATCTTTGTTTACAAAATTTTGCTAATTAGCACAAAGTTTAAATGAAGCAATTAAGGAAAATAAGTTTGTAGCGTAAAAGGGGTTATTAAGACCTATAAACTACGAACGTTTGACGCCTTCACATGCAATAGTTTATGAGATATTGGCGTTCATAGATGCTGAGTGAATTAGCAACGATCGAAAATCGCCGCGAAGTTGCAGCCAAATTTCAAGCATGTTCAACACTCAGGCGATCGTCGCGCGACAATCACGCTTGATGCGAAAGCGTTGCTGATTAATAAACGTAGACGTAGATGTAGAAAAGTCGCATGTGTAAACGAGCTTTATAGCTACTYTATAGGCGAATAATTTGTTTACATTTTCGGTTCATTTACATATCATTAGCATAAGCACGTTTTAACCTAACTAACTATCAGCATCAGCACTGAATATTGAAACAACATGGCACAATAAGCTTTCCTCGCAATTTTGAGCTTTTCTTATGAAATACTAGCCTGCGTTAAACGGTTTTAAAAACTTTTTGATGTATGAGAACAATCACAGGGCTGTTGCGCGATAGGAAACAATCACGYGCTTACAAGAAATTCGGATTTTTTTCAGTCTGTTTGACTTAACTCACTACTCTACAGTGATAATCGTTGTGTAATTGTTGTTTTGAAAATATTTCATTTTTCGTAAGAAAATAGCTAACAAAGTCACATACTGGGCCTTAGACTCAAGATAAGACTCAAGATAACAAGATAAGTCTGATTTTTTCGTGTTGACAGCAAACAAAAATCCTTAACAATTTGCAAATAGAAAACCTTTGCAGTGACAGARAGTTTGTTTATTTCTAAGAAATTGCATTGGATTGGTTTCTTTCGTGACATGTTGCGTTAAGTTTTTAAAGTGTAAACATGGTCGGACACTGGTTGGGGGCTATATTTTGAAGAATGAAAAACAGCCTAGTATAGACGATCATTAGGCAAAACGTGAAGTTATAGCGGTAAAAAGGACCTCAAATACAAGACTTCACTTTTTACATAATTAAAACTTGTTACATTTTCTTAAACATTAGATATTTGCTTAGACTTCAGCAAAGTTTGAGCTCCGTTAGGATTTTCAGGCGAGTTTGGCGATACCTGAAAGATGGGCTATGATCGAGATTTAAAGACACAAAAAATCGGTTTTTCGAACTTTTAAAAATTTCTAAAATTGTAAGGCGCTACTGGTTCCCTAAGCGGTTTTTTTTTTGGCTGGGYGAAATAATAAAAGTTTCGATTTTTCCCAACTGACTTTGGATTCTCGACCCTTACAGACATTCGCTCTTATGTTTGTAGTAAGTGAAGGAGATTACTTGCTAAAAGAATTCAGCTTGGTGTATATAATAATAGAATAATAAAAGATGGTTTGGCTTCCATGTTTGATTTAAAAGTGATGTAATATCACTTTTAAATTATGATTTTTTTGGGGGGGGATTATGACTGTCCATTACTTTTACATAGTTTTGAATGTTCAAAATATGTAGAAAGGCTATTTTATAAATACTCGTGCTTGTAGTGGTATTTTTTTCTAAGTTTAAGCGTAGCTGATTTGAATACTCATGAAATTTGGTCAATCTAATTTGTAATTTTGTATGTACACAACAGTATGTGAGTATATTGTGATGAATAATCAAACATTTAATCTCTATTTTTTTATTTGGAGATGTTACAAAGTGTTGCATGCCGGGACAGCAGAACATATTAAAGGCAGAGGAGTGAAGTCTAATTATTCCTTTTACTAAGAGGTTGGTCTGTTATAGAGCTAACATCACTGCATGTTGGATTGCAAAAAGATTGGATTATTRTTGGCAATTGGCATTATGTGTCTGCAAGCAGTTACTATACAGTGAATAAGATGTTGTAAATACCTGATAAGGTTGACCTAGCAGTAACCATTCATGAACTCAGTAATTTGGCAATGCCAACAACTTTGGATGAACCCAGCTCTATCAAAAGTACTGACAAAGGCCTTATTTTCTTTTCATGAAACCAGGTCACCTTTATTATGAGAACCTACATACTGGGATTACCTTCCTAATGTAGTTGCCATAACTGCAAAATAAACACGAGGCTACATTGCTACTAGCTTGCAGAAGTAGTTTATACCCAGCCATACATGTACAGTACATGTAGGTTTACGGGTTGGTGAAGCATTTTTCACTATGAAGTTTTTTCCAYTGATTTTAATTTGTAAACACAGGTAGACATAACCGTATGGCAAAGGCTGACCCTGGGTGATAAGGGTGGCTGACCACCACCACCAACCACCCCTCCCTTAACAGCACCTTTAAGGGCTCAATTTACCAAAATAAAAATGATATGAATAAATAAATAGAAAGTAAATCTGAATGGAATTACTGAAAGACAACTGAAGCAAAATTTATATGAAAGACAATTTCATATTTTTCTGCAGCCCTAAACCAATCCATTGAATATTTTTCTGTGTTTGTAAACATTCTGGATCTACCATTGATGAAACTTTATTATACTCATTTTTACATCAATCTGAAAATTTTCACTGAATTTTGCACAAGTTAAGAGTAGAAGTCTTAAAAATGTTTTAAGAGTTCATAAAATTTATTCTTTCTTTAAACTTACCATTCATAGCAAGATTCTTGCAAAGGAGAAAACTTTCAATCGTAATTTCATTTTGGATTGTTCATGTTGACTTCAGTTCAATTCTATTCAAGTAAGGATTTTTACGAAAAATCAGACAGTTGTTTCCTCATAGCAGCTGGGGGAATAATGTGTGCTCCCCAGTGATATACATACAGTAGAAACCATGGTTTATTTGCATTATCTGCAAGGGATATCATGTCTTTATTGAGATTTGTTCTTCTTTCTGATTACCCTATATACTATATATTTTTCTTATTTAACAACCTTGACTTTTGTATTCAAGTTTATTATGAACTTACATATGTAATTTTTAGGGGTGATTTTTAGACTTGCAATGCTATTTTCATACTGCATCTAAAACTCAACTGAGTACATAAGATAACAAATGATGGAACTTAATGGTTATATCATTCTTTATGAAATTTTGTCAATCATTTAAAAAATGTCTGACTGCAGTCAACATCCAACTACATAATAATAGTGGTCGAAGATGAATGGAAAGAAACCTTGATTGAATATCACTTGATCAATTGCAAGYCAATAAACTGGTCAAGAAGTCAAAACAAATTGTGTATAAATCAGACACCTTTCTAAATGAATTGATGACAAATTGAAAACGCAACTATATGTATTGTTCATGAGTTCTCGTCAGAGGAGTCAGTCATCTTGGCTACCTGAATCTTCAGATTCACCTCCATCAAAAATGTTTTGAATGGCTTGCAAAAACTCATCCAATCCCTTGAATTGACCTGTTGAAGCATAACCCCTTGGTTCTCTACAATGGGGGCATCCTTTATCCAACCCATCAGAACCACCATACCACTGGTTTACGCATGTTGCACACCCCAACAAAATGTTGCAACATTTAGCCACAACAATTGGTGGATGCATGGGCTGCTTGAGACATATGGTACACCGGAAGGTGTCCCGCAGCAGTTTCCCCAAGCTCAATGGGATGGTCATCGATTTGCTTATGCTTGTTATTTCTTTGATCGCTTTGGATATCTCTTCAACCGATTTGGACACTTCATGCAACTGTTGTCGAAGAGACTTCATTTCATCTGTGATACTTTCCAATGTTTTCTCATGTCGGGAGCTTCTCCTTTTCTTATGTGCTGAAGTTACGGACTCCCCCTCCGACTCTGAACTGGTGTCAGAGAATGTGCTCTTTTTCTTCCTTTTGGTAATGTCAGCAGGCTGAGGAATGGCGTAAATTTTTCTTGATGGACACTTCCAGAATTTTGTACCTATGTAAATGGAGGAAAGACTGTCAATGGCCATCTTACTTATCTTGATTATTGTACTATTAGTAATCATGGGCTGCTTCTGTGAGTACCAGCGAGAGAAAAGAGCACAGTCTTAATTCAGTCCAAACTGTCAAAATAATAGACACAGAACCTAATCAATACCAAAAAAAAATTCAAAGAAACCTAAGCATAATGAACGAGTATACGAGAAGTACTTTGATCATGTTTTACTTTAGATATTTCGGCTACTAGCCGTAGCCGTAGCCATCATCAGTATACGTAACTAAAACTAAAAAAAAGGAAGCTAAGCATAATACTATACATTCTGGGGGCATGGTACTCACAGAAAGGCAATAATCAATTACTTCAGCCAGAAAAAGTATGATGAAAAATGTCATTTAGCAATTCATCTGTTTGGTCTTCCTGTTGTGGTGCATTAATTAGCAGAGTCAATTTAATAAAGGAGCAAAAGAAGTCTTCGCATTTTTTTTCTGGTATGGAGCTTAACCCTTGCTTTGTTGAAACTTCAAACTTATAATCAGTTTTTAGAGGCATAATGGCTGAGCTTTAGAATGTGACAAGTTACCGTATTTAATCATTTATAAGCCGCACTTCTTTTCCAAAAAAATCGTTCCCAATCGGGAGTGGGGCTAATCTATGAGAAGACTTGTAAAAATGTCCAGAAAAAAGCTAATTTGCCTAAATTAGCATTTACTGYACTGTGCTACTTATGCAGACAGTTGGCAACAATAAATTGTCTAGGACATCCATTCAAACTTATCATGTAATAAATAAGTTTGTTTTACACGGYGCGAACAGATATATATTAATGCAAACTTCTCAGTATTACTATAAATATCCGAAAATCTAACTCTCAGAAACACAAGTCAATAAATCAAAGTGAAGAATCCAGGGTAAAYATTTTGAATACCCAAGAAATAAGCTTAAAAATAGCTTCTGCTTTCATATTTTTTTTGAAATACGAAACGGTTTTSTTTCGAACGATTTATTYGGAACTATTTATATCACTTAATTACTAGTTTGGTTTTACCTTTTGAATCAAAAACAACTCTTTAAATATATTATCAATCTAAACAATGATGTCTACACGATAAACTCCAAGAGCATCATAGTACACCRCACGTTAAATAAACTGATCRTAATTGCATACGCAATGCATGGAGTTGACGCTCTAAGCAGGTCTGGTTTAGATGTAAAGAATCTACCAAAGGCATGCAGTTCAACTATAGGAACTGATATCAAATATATTAGAGTAAACTTTGTGAAAGTAACTCCTTTTTGATTAATTTTCATGCAACATTTAGCAGCTTTTGAAGGAACTAGATACACAATAATTTTTGACAAATCTTTAAAAGCATAGACACGGTATACATCGCACGGCAATGCAGACGTGACTCATATCATCATCATCATTGTTTGTGTGAAACAAAGTTAAAATATGGATWGACTTATTCTAATTGTAGTAATTTAAAGGTCAAGTAYACCCAGTATCAGATTCAGACCCGCACTTTGATGCCTTGGCCTCGCTCTACAAAATCTTCATCTAGGAACTCTCCTCCGTGAAAATGAACTATTTGGCTTGATACACCAACCTTTATGACTGTTACAATATGTGTACTTCCGGTGTACCACTTCCGGTATGCTTACGTAATAATATCTGTCAATCATGTTATATATCATAAGCACATGTAATCTACAAGAGACTCATTTCAAAAAATAAAGGTGGCTTACAGTCATTGAACTCGTGAAACAATGACCTAAACCAATGCCCTAATACATGCTCTTACACAGATGAATGTTTTGGACTCGAATGTCAAAGAATTACTAAAAAGCTACAGTAACTCTCCTGTTCTATGATACGATTGTTTACAGCCGAGTTCGTAATGTGATATTTCGTTTAGAGATAGGAGGGCGATCGGGAGACCCGAAGGCAAACTTCTAACTTGGAAAAAAACTATACGCGTAGTCGCCTCGCAGCCGTTCTTAGTGTGGGGCGGGGGACAGGGAGTTTTGTTATCGGCCAATAATCAATTTGTTGAGTAGGGATTTAGTGAACACAACACAACGCCTGTTTAAAGTTACAAAAGATTTCTGACCAGCTGTGATAGATCACACTGATTATAAACTTGCAANGTTTTGAACAAGAACTATCCTCCTGCTTGCATAATTGTATATTGTAGATAGTGGTTTTGAACAAGAACTATCCTCCTGCTTGCATAATTGTAGGATATTCTTCCTATTATTATTGTATGTGGACTTTTGTTTTATTAGGAAAAACAAAGTTAGTGTTACAGTCAAAGAGGAAGAGCCTTCTGTGCTAAAATCCCCTGAATCACCAAATGCTATAAACATAGATGATACTGATGACATCATAATGGAGACTGTTACCAAGCAACCAAACACATCATTGACACCCAATTTGAAGATAGTCAGTACAAATCCAGCTAATAAGGATGTTGCCAAGGCAACACTTATTATATGCCCTTTGTCAGTGTTAAGTAATTGGACGGTAAGTTAGCATAGCATTGTCAAATTCATTAATAATTCATAAGGTAAACACAATGGAAAATCATTGCCGTGACCGTATCTTTATATGAGCAAGAGATTTGTCCTGATTTGCATACGACTTTAACTTCGATTTTCTCTTACAAATGATATTTTATCCTGAAGTATTTTTCGAAATATGTTTTAGCTTATGTTGGAATTTGCTTGCAGCTCGCAGTTTTAAATGCCCATAAAGGTCTCTCGCTCATATTTTATATATTACGTAAAAATAGGTATACACCATTTAGCTCTAACTAACTATTCCAATGTAGTGGTTAATTGCATGTTAATTGTACCTGTTAAAGAATCATAACCAACCGTCGTACCTTGCGCGCTCGTATTATTGTTTACTTAAGGAATAAAAGACGAAATTCCGTGTTTGATACTCTGATCAAAACACGCGGGATGTAGGGAGAGCACGAGAGAAGCGTAGGAAACCACGACGCGTGATCAGAGTATCAAACACGGAATTCCGTCTTTTATTTCTTTTCTAAAATTAAAAGAATAAAAGAAATTTTTGACGCGCGCGAGCGTGTTTTGATACTGTAATCAAACATGGTTTTCGACCAATCACAGCGCGCGTAGTATCCTAAGTATTTTAGAAATACGTTTAAATGAGTCAAGGATACAATAAATTATAGATTGATAGTAGCTGTGAGGTACTTAGTTAAATGTATTTCTGTCCAAACTGAAAGGACGGAAGACGATTCGCGCTCACTTTAAGAAATCCTACGAATCCGCCATTTTCGTGTCCACCTAAAATGGCGCTTCGGCTCGCTAGGTACGGCGGTTGGTTATGTTTCTTTAACATTAGGGGCAATCCATTATAATTATTATTATTTTGTAAATTTACAAAAGCTGTAGTGCAGATTTTTTTAAATTTTGCCTTGCTGGCATTTTTTGTAGGCTTTCAGGCCGTGCAGGATTAATTAAAAAAAAAACAACCCCCTCAAAATCTAATGGATCGCCCATTAATCTTTTCCACAGGATCAAATCTGTACTCATGTGAATCCTGCTGTCAGTCTGAGAGTATACTTGTACTATGGAGCACAGCGAATAACAGATATTGAATACTTGAAAAAGCAAGATATAGTCCTTACCACCTATCCCACCATTGCTAATGACTATCGTAAATCTGTGAGTACATAATACAGAGTGAACATACTATATGTTAAGGAAACACGCATGATTCTCTGTGATTCTAAGTTTTGTGCTTACACACTCATCAGACAGACTTTTAGTCACAAAGAATCATGTGCGTTTCCTTGTAGTTCACGTATTGTAATACAAATAATTCAGACATACTTTAATTAACAATGCACTTTTTCAGGATTCAGTTTTTACATCTATTTATTCATCTATTTCGTCATCCAACCATTCTTTCGTGTATTCATCTATTCATTTCCAGGGAAACTCTCCACTCTACAAGATTAAATGGCTTCGTATCATTCTTGATGAAGGCCATACCATCAGAAACAAAAGAACAACTATGTCTAAATCAGTTTTAGAGTTAGAAGGAGAACGACGCTGGGTCATAACTGGTACACCAATACAAAACAGAATCGAAGATCTTTGGGTTCTCTTGCTTTTCTTGAGACTGGAGCCTTTCAACGACAAGAAATGGTGGAAGATGATGATAGCTAACATTTTGCAGAAACGCGGCAGACTGGCAGAGCTGGCTGACTTGTATGTGTTTTAAACATTATTAATTCAGTTTTATGATTTATCAAATACTTTAATAATTCGTAGGGCAAGCATAATCATGGGAATTCGTAGCCATGATTAAAATCTGTAAAAAAGCCCTGATGTTCACATAGGTTATCTTGAGGGTATAAGGGGCCGAATTTTGTTATTTTGCCAACGCAACTGAAGTSTGMAGTTTGATTTTCTAGTCGTCTGAATGCCCTGATTAAGCACATCTCAATMAGAAGACTGAAAGATGAGAAAGTGAATAACAATAAACTTGTGGAACTTCCACCAAAGCAAGTCGTGATTCAAGATATTGARCTCTCTGAGGAAGAAAGAAAACTGTATGACATGATGCAACTAAAAGGACAGAAAACCATTCGTCGGTAAGTCCAGCAAAAACAGTTTCCCATATCGCCCTCTGTAAAAGTCTAACGTTTGTTTSCATACAGGTACATCCGCGAGGATTCTGTTCTCAAGCATTATGGCCATTGCTTTTTCATTATCATGAGACTAAGGCAAATGTGCATTTACCCACAACTATGTAAAGAAACYTTGACTGAACTTAAAGAGGCTCTACAGCGAGCCGAGGAAGGTAATCAAACCACCGTAATTATATGAAGCACAAARATCCTGAAAGTGAATTATCGAACGTGCTAAACTTAATGGAGAAAAAAATATGAATAAAAAATGGAATTAACAAAACATGCCTAGCCTCCTTTGCAGACGTTATTAGTATCGGTCATATAAAATTCCCTAGAGAATTTATCACCGATACTAAAAACGTCTGCAAAGGAGGCTAGGCATGCCCGAAATAACAAAACCAAAGCAAAACCATTCAAGAAATCTGGTTACAACACTAACGACATCATGATCTTTTAGCTGAAACCAATCAAAACGACGAAGCAGAGGATGATGAAGATGACAGTAATGCTCATTTGATCAAGATCCTGATAGAAGCCATTGTTGCCGGGGATAGCGAGGAATGTGCTGTGTGTTTGGAGTCATTAACAGATCCAGTCATCACCCCTTGTGCTCATGTCTTTTGTTCTGCTTGCATCCGGGATGTTTTACAGTCAGAAGGTCTTGCGCCAACATGTCCAATGTGCAGAGGTCCTGTTAGTGAGAGTGATCTTGTACATGTTCCTGAAGAGCAACTACGTAACATAAACAACGATCAGTCAACCAACGACGATGACAGTGAAAAGGACTCTCAATTCGAGGGTAGTGCTAAGGTACTTAGGTTCTTTCTTGTCCGCTCTTGCTGTTTTTGTCATCTTGTATCTTGTCATTGGCTTTATTTCCTTTCGTTTCTCATCTTTTATGGACAATGTTTCCTTGCCTTCTTTTTCATTTGATCTCTTAGTTAGATTTGCTCTCTAATTCTCTCTCTAATCATTTTATCTCTGAATTCTCTTCTTTTTCTATAATCTTGTTGTCTTATTCCATATTTACCAGTGTTTACTATATTTTCTTAGATCACTGCATTAATCAGCTCTTTGGAAGCCATCCGCGATAAGGACCCGTCAATCAAGAGTGTTGTAGTRTCCCAGTTTACGTCATTTCTTAAYATAGTAGCTGAGAACCTTAACCGACGAGGCTTTCATTATCTTCGTCTGGACGGAACGATGAACATCAATGAGAGAAGGAAAGCACTGGAAGACTTTAATGACGATGGCTCGGCCACAGTCTTCTTGCTGTCAATGAGTGCCGGGGGGACTGGGATAAGTTTGACTGCTGCTTCAAGAGTCTTCTTGATGGATCCAGTGAGTACCTCTTGCATAAAAAGTAATATCAAATACATTGTTCTTTGTATCTGCACAGCTCTATAAAAGGGGATTTCAATGTTTCAGTAGGAATATGCCAGTTCTATACCTTCGATTAAAAGCACTTTAGTTGAGAACTGTCATTTTGTAACTCCACTTGGGAGTCCAATAGNGTTTTGTTATCGGCCAATAATCAATTTGTTGAGTAGGGATTTAGTGAACACAACACAACGCCTGTTTAAAGTTACAAAAGATTTCTGACCAGCTGTGATAGATCACACTGATTATAAACTTGCAAATTTGACTCATTTGAACATGTAAAATCTTCAAGATGTGTCGCCATTGGGGTTTCTTGATTGTTTACAAAACGACACAGATCAGCGCGCACATTTTCGCGGGCAAACCGCGGATCTTTCTACATTTGCTACGTGTGGGACTTTTAATTTAGAAAAGTGGAAATGAAAATGCAAGTTGTACTGTGAATCTTCATTCACTTTCGTCCATTCCTCTCAAGTCCTCGAGACGATACATTCTGGTACAAATAAAAGTATTAAATAAGTCCTTTCCATACCTCTTGTCCCATTCTCATCTTCTATGGGCAAACCGTTGCCAGCCACGATTAGAACCTTTTTCCCTACTTTTCCCTCCATCTGCTCTTTGATGAAGTTTACATTGGCTGTGTCATCATTTAGCTGTATAAATGTCTGGCCTTCTTCGGTGAAAGTTGCTGCTTTCCCATTTTTTGCCATATCACTTGCCAAAATTATTTTGCATGCAAATGTACTAGTGCTAGTGGTCTTCCTCAATGCCAATGGCTTTTTTATGGCTTGGCTTGTATTTCCAGTAAATGTAGGGCTTGGTGTATAAGAAAAACCTGTCGCACCATTCGATATCGCCTCCCCCATAACTTCGAAGGAAGAACCATCTACATTAGTGAAGTTGAAACGACCGGAATCTGTGGGCCACAATGCCAGATCCCCCCATTCCTCCTTCAGATACAAAGTGTCAACATCGACCTGGCAAGGATTAAATATTATTTCAATCAACTGTCGTATCTACTAACAGACAGAAAATACAAAAGTTTGATTCTAAAATGCAGTTTAAGTTCTTATACATGTGAAAAGATTGCCAAAATGATGTACGCTAATGATCATGGATAAATCCTCGTTTCAGGCTATACTATGAGCTCACCTGGAACGCACTTGCCAACCTTGTAGCAGTAATTTCAGAAGTTGAGGCTGTAAAACTCTTAGAGTCACGGTAACACTCTACTTTTTTACTCATTTTTAGAAAATCGCTGT